CACTCCTCTAACTGTCTCAGAGTATGAGCCCCGTCACTCCGCTGCACAACCCCTCCCTGTAAATGAGCCATTTCCATTATTTTACAGGCCTTCTACCCTCGTCCCAGCACAGGACTCCCCTTGTACAGCGGCTTATTCCAATCAGGGTTTTAAGGGCTGCAGACTCTTAAAATTACAACCCAGCAGAATTGGCTCATCTCCCTCTCCGGTGGCGTGGATTCACTTCGAAGACGGGCACTGCCGCCCAGCAGGGGACGCTCATTCCTCAGCGCCCCGCCCCCCCCCATGCAGTGGTTCAGCCCCCAGCGCTCCCGCACCCCCGTGTTGAGCTTGATGTTGGAGCCGTCCTCGGAGATGAGCGTCCCGCTGTCCGTGAAGTCGGTGACGTCCGTCATGCCGCTCATGCTGCTGGCATCGTCCATGCTCCAGTCGTGGGACCGGCGCTCGTGCTGGTACTGCAGCGCTGGCAGCTGGATGGCCTGGATGTCCAGGCTGGAGTCGACCAGCTTCCCCACCCTGCACGGCACACACACACACACACAAGAAAAACACCTGGTTTACATCTACCAGGATCCTGGACCAGACTGTGGCCAAAAAGGCAGAGAAGCAATCATCCATATATATATCATATCATAGCCATATCACCCTGCAACTCAAAACTGGCACCCCCCTGACACTCAGCAGGTGTGAGCCTGGCCAGTACCTGGATGGGAGACTCCTGGGAAAGCTAAGGTTGCTGCTGGAAGAGGTGCTTGTGGGGCCAGTAGGGGGCGCTCACCCTGCAGTCTATGTGGGTCCTAATGCCCCAGTATAGTGATGGGGACACTATACTGTAAAAAAGGTGTCATCCTTCGGATGAGACATAAAACCAAAGTCCTGACTCTCTGTCTTTACAAATCCCACGGCCTTTCCTCGAAAAGAGTAGTTACCCTGGCGTCCTGGCCGAATTTCCCCCTGGCCTTTACCAATCATGGCCTCCTTATAATCCCCATCTAGGAACTTTGTTCTCCTCTCCACTGATAGTTGGTTTGTGTTGAGAGTCCTGGTGCACTATGGTTACTGTCGCATCATCCAGGTGGGGGCTGCACACTGGTGGTGGTGGAGTCCCCATTACCTGTAAAGCGCTTTGAGAGGAGTGCCCAGAAAAGCACTTTTAAGTGTAAGAAATTCTTATCAGATGGGAGAGAAGTGACATTTTCACCTATCCAAAGGCACTTGGCCAACCACAGCAGCCACAGTGGCGTAGTGAGTTTACGCTGGTCTGTGAAAGCCCTCCAGATCTACAGCACATTACCAGCTAACGGAACAAACACATTGTTTGAACGAATATCGCTTGATCACACCTCTCCAAAAGCAAAGCAGCTCCAACCCCTACAGTCAGCCCCTTCCTAAACATTAACTGCACAGGTCTGTAATTGGTGGAGTGGTCAATCGATTCTTACACTGCTTCAGCTCTACGGCGCTGGCTGTGTCTCTCCAGTGCGCGTGGAAATTCGCAGGTGAATGCAAACGAATGGAGCTGCACTCCCAAGCTGCCACTCCAGAGCCACTGCAGTGTAGCGCTGATTGCTTTAAACTTCAGAAATGTCAAGGTCCACCGCTCAAGTCTCCATCATTGTGAGCCACACGGCTCCGTCGTGTGCAGGTCGGTGCATTATCATCTGCGCTTTCTGCTTTCTCACCGGGGCCCTGCACTGATTACTCAGATAAAACGGAGCCCACGTGCATTCGTCCTTTTACACAATCCTTTCCTCGCGTTTCTCTGGCTGCTAATGGCAGCCCCGAGAGGAATAAGAGGGCACTCGGGGAGCTATTAAAGAACTTCAACAAAAAGAGGAAAAAAAAAAGACAAACGAACAGAAAAAACCCACAAAGAGCTGAAGGCCGTTGGGCCCTCTTCGCCTCTGTGGCGTTTAGAGACCGCTGGGTTGCGGGACCCGCGGTGCTCAGCTCCATCACGGCTTGTGGAGAGGTGGTGCTGGCTGATAGTCACGAGCCTCTCCCTTCCTTCAACCCCCCCACACCCCCAGGGGACCCTGCGGAAGATCCTCCCTAACCTGTCACAGGGCTCCGGCACCTGCTTCTTCCCAGAGTTCGGAACGGTTTTCTCCCCTCCCGTCGGCGGCATCGCCAGTTACTTGCCAGGACTCCCCGTCCAGACCGAACGGACGAGAAGACCAGTTTCTACTCTTCCCCGCAGCCCTCGCTCTCGCAGGCGCCTGTCTAGCAGTGACTGGAGGAGGGGAGACGAGGCTTTCGAACGCGTCCTACCAGCTCGCAGAGCGCCACTACATCCCAGCGGTCACCACCGGCTCCTGAGCAAACCGGGCTCGAGCCCTGCGAGACCGCACCACCTCGATCTCAATCACCACAAAGCTGCACTACGGTTTCATTTAGAGCTCACCAAAAAGAAAAGGGAAAGGGATTACCCTTCAAAATATGACTTTTGGGTCCCAACAGTCCGCATTCTGTTGCTTGAACCCAAAAGCTTCATTGGCATTAATCATCACCTGCTAATCCTCTCTAAAAGAACTGGCGCTGGCTGATGCGCTGGGTCCAGTACCTGAGGAAAACCTCTTCCATCGTCGTGACTGAGGCCCCATAGCTGGCGATGCCCAGGCCCTCTCTGTTCAGCTCCAGCTCCGCAAACAGCAGCTCAAACCTGCAGGAAGGCAAAAGGAGAACATGGACACGGGGAAACGTGCGCAGCCCGGCCCCAGGGGAAAGGACGTGGATGTGCAAACGAACTGCAGACTGGGAGCACGTTCCAGAAACAAGTGGATGCTTCCGGCAGTTGATTCCTGCAGTTGAACTGCCGTATGATTCCTGTCCAATCGGGACAGGAGGAACACTCTACACAAAGGGTGGTGGGAGTGTGGAACAGGCTGCCCAGCCATGTGGTTGAAGCCGATACCCTGGGACCTCTTAAGAAACAGCTGGATGCACAAACAGGCACAATGTGCAAAATGGCCTCCTCTGATTTGTAACCATCGTTCTAACGTTTTCCCACAACTCTCTGCTAACTAGAAGGGATCCAAATTTTAAGACTCCACCACTGTAGGACAGGAAGATACGGCTCCCTGCTGCCCATGTTGCACATACTGTACCTGAACAGCCAAGTCTATAGACGAGACCCAATCTCCTCCTGGTTTTCCTTACAGCCCGGCTAAATTACCTAATCAAAGCCATAACAGACCTAGCAAGTTGCTTGAATGGAATATTTGCAAGCCTTTCTTTTACTCCGTAGCGTGAGATTTCGTTTTACCTATGAAATGCAAACATAGGGCCTCCTCCATGTTTAGAAAACAAGTCAACACAGGTCAGAGGAATCCTGCGATGAAACCGATTAAGGGTTCAGCTCTTTAACCGAGAAAGCTGGGCTGGAACAAAAACCAGCCGGCGTGTGAGCCTTCGGGACCAGGACTGGAAAGAGCTGCTATCGATAAAGCTTTTGTGCTCAGCTTTTAAAATGAAGACATAGAAAATAAACATAGCCTCACATGTTCATTGCTTTTGGACATTAGCACTGAACTAACCTAGTTTTCCAAACGTTTTCGAGTATCACAAATGAAATGGCGGCACACTGTCTACTTGCACAGTGTTCTCTTTTGGGGTTATCCTTTAAACCGTGCTGGAAAAGAGCCAAAAAAAATACAAGAAACGTTTTGGCTTCACTGATTCCTCAGTTATTGCTGAGTTACCAGTTCAGGGGTGTAGGTAATAATTATCCGCCAGGGCACTCGCAGTGTCTTTTCAAAGCCTTATTGCTGGAGCGGTAATTGGTCACGCGCGAGGACGACACAGCGCCACTGTAGCATGAAACACATTAAGGGTGATGAACCCTTTAACTGCATGAGAAAAGCTCTGACAATCAGCCATGGACATAGAGCTGTACTACAAGGATGCAGTGGTACTGTAGCTCGCGTAGTGAGGCCCCTGCCCCTTGTGGGTTCAAATTCAGATTGTGATGCGGCAACACAAGTCAAGGGGCGAGATACCAAATACAAATTAACTGAATCCCCCATACACTTCAGTTGCCAGAGGTATTTATTTTCTTTCTCATTTTAATAATTGTACACCCAACAGAAATGAAAAGGTATAAAAAAAAAAAACATCATTCTATTTATCATACAGGTGCCAATTCCACTTTACCTTACTTATTCAAACAGGCGTTTGCTTTGCTGGCTGCGGTAAATTGGGGATAGTGGGCGTGCTTCAGTTTCTTTAAAGAAAATCGCCAGTTTAAAAATAACACTATTGATTTCCGAGGGGGCGAAAGCAGAGGAAGAGCTCTGTGCGGTAAGGTTAGGCCTTGGTCAAGTCAGAGGAGCAATTATATACATCCAATTGATGAGTACCAAATGTTTTCTCGTCCAGGAATTGTGTTCTGTTAAAGTATGTTAAATAAGAAAGGTACTGGGAGCAGTCTAGAGAGGAGATGCATAGCTTAAAGTTTTCTAAAGTGATTAAAATCCTTGAAAAGCTTTTCTGAAAAACCACATAAGCGCTTCTCCAGGCTCTGCATTTTTTACGCATTTTACCGTGTATAGGGCTTGAAAGAATCCAGCTTTTATGTTTTTCCTTTCCTGAATTTTGAACAATAAATGTTTGTACTGCAATTGAAATTGTGTAATTGTGACAAATAAAAGAATATTGTACTTCCTTTTTAAATGACTATATACGCAGCTAAGTGCTTGAAAAGAAGGCAAACCAAAAAGGGGGATTATACACTTTATGAAGCATTAAGCTGCTTTACATCCACTTACACTAATTTTTGATTTCTTGTAAATACAAACCACAGTTGCATAGGGCTATCTAAATTATGGAACTGGAGATATCTAAAGTAAACATTCTCTATATCCATCGTGTGAAGTGATCAACCTGCCAGTATATGATACACAGGAGAGCATAGTAAATCACGACACAGAGGGCAGCAGGGAAGAGAGCAGACTGAGTGGGTATAAATATAAGACTGAGACTGAGACCGGGGGTTTTCGCGAGAAAAGAATCTGAAAATAAGAGGAGTCTGTGCTGTCGCTGCATCGGTAAAACCAAGAAGCTGTTCATTAACGTGAAATAAGATCTGAAATGATTTCCTGCGGTCTGGAAGCCCAATGCCAACGTGAAATCGAGCTCGTATGTGACCCCAAAGACATTATTTGAAGGTTACTACAGCCTACTAAAGAGTCACTTTCAGAGTTGTTTTTTTCCCATTCTTTTCGTAATCCGGGGAATGATTAACAAACAGCTACAGATCGGGCCAGGAGTGCTTCCCAGAGATGGGAACAGAATGAATCATGTTTACGGATAGCGGGAGCAACGTCTTGGCAGTCCAGAATTAAATCCAGGGAACAGTGCAAGTCAGTCAGACTGCTGCACCTCAGTAGTGATCCTGCCTAGCTGCACATCTTGGCATTACTCTTTACAAATGGATCAAAACTGCATGTTAAGCAGCCATATCACCCTGTAACGCACAACTGGCAGCAGCAGGTGTGAGCCTACCCAGTATCTGGATGGGAGATCTCCTGGGAAAGCTAAGGTTGCTGCTGGAAGAGGTGTTAGTGGGGCCAGTAGGGGGTGCTCACCCTGTGGTCCATGTGGGTCCTAATGCCCCAGGATAGTGACGGGGACACTATACTGTAAAAAGGCGCCGTCCGTCAGATGAGACGTAAAACCGAGGTCCTGACTCTCTGTGGTCATTAAAAATCCCAGGGCGTTTCTCGAAAAGAGTAGGGGTGTAACCCCGATGCCCTGGCCAAATTTCCCATTGGCCCTTACCAATCATGGCCTCCTCATAATCCCTATCTATCAATTGGCTTCATCATTCTGTTCTCCTCCCCACTAATAGCTGATGTGTGGTGAGCGTTCTGGCGCACTATGGCTGCCGTCGCATCATCCAGGTGGGGTTGTACATTGGTGGTGGTGGAGGGGAGCCCCATTACCTGTAAAGTGCTTTATAAGTGTAAGCAATTATTATTATTATTATTATTATTATTGTTATTGTTATAACACATTAAATATGTGGTAACAGCTGCATAACGTGCAGCATTTCCTTATTTGTCCTCAGGGTGGCGGTATTTTATTCAGTATTATCGATACCTACCGGCTGGTGCTTTCCTTAGGCAGGATATAGGACAGCTCGGCTCCTGCACTGCTTTCCAAGGTGGCGTTGGGCACGTACATCTTCACCAGCCGCGTGATCTCCGACACGTTGCACAGGGAGTCCTTCACTATCACCATGTGGTAGCCCGCGCCTGCAATCACAGGGACACCACAGTCACGGGGGGCGCGCTGCTCGCTGCACCGGGGAGATCTCGTCCCATCTTTGCATCATCACGCCTGCCTTCAGCACGGAGACACTCTCCCAAACTCCCACTGCATGCATCCGCTTAAAGCCTTTACTGCTTTGCAATACTGTGTTGTGTGGCCTAGCTGGAAGAGTCAAGAGCAGTCCAGAGGAGGTCATTCATGGGCTGAACGGAACAAACTACACTGACAGGCAGAATGAACTGAACCTGTTTAAGCTTTCAACAGAAGGAACACCAGCATTCGAAATCCTCGGAGCCAACCCAGCAGAACGCTGTAAGAATGAACAACAACAGACCAGAGGGCACGAGGGGAAACTACGCAGAAACTGCGCACTTAAATCCCAGAACAGGAGGCACTCCTTTACCCAGAGGGTTGTAGGAGTAGGGAACAACCTACCCAGTCGTGTTGGTGAAGACGAGATGCTGCCTTCTGCCAGGAAACAGCCGGTTGAGCTCCTCGGATCGATTAACTACTAAACTACCAAACGGGCTGGACGGTCTGTGACCTTTCTTATGCTCTTACAACTGTGTGCTCCAGGAGTCTATAAAACCCAACCACCCTTTATTCTCATGTAATTGTTTTATGAGGCGGTGAAGGCGGAGTAAGAGCTCTGTGCGGTAAGGTACTTGGTCAAGTCAGAGGAGCAATTATATACAGCCAATTGATGAGTACCGAATTCCCTGCTACAGATTGGTTACGTTTTCTCTTCCAGAAATCTCTCCCTGCAAACTCTGGAAAAAGCACAGCCGTGGGGCGCAGTGGATGCCCCAGACGGTGCGGGGAAAAGGAGGGCTCTTACCGTACTTGTTCTTGAGGAACAGGGGCGACCCGCAGCACTGCAGCTCCCCCTGTGCCATGATGGCGATGCGGTCGCCCAGCAGGTCGGCCTCGTCCATGAAGTGTGTGGTCAGCAGGATGGTGCGGCCCTGCTTCTGGCTCTGCAGCAGGTCCCAGGTGGCGCGGCGGGCGGAGGGGTCCATGCCCGACGTGGGCTCATCCAGCATCACCACCTGGCACGGGCGGCAGGAGGAGGAGGCACACCGCTAAAACCCCCAGCCGCTGGCCGGCTGCAAACGACATCCTGCAGCCTCGCTGCGGCGTTCTGGTTGCTACACATGTCCGCCTTTTGACCCAGTGGTCCCGTACTATGAAGCCGAGGTTTTTCAATTTGTTTCGGGCAGGTGGGTCAAAGGTTTGGTATAATGAGCGTCTAGAAATGGGCTTTCAAAACTATTCACATCCCCGTGCAACAGTAACAAAGAGCATTTGACACAGGAGACCAGCTGACCTACAATCGAAGGTAACGATGGACTAACGTCAAGCAAGGAGCTTCTGGGGAGCTAGCTGCAGTTTTTAAGTTGCATGACTCTGATGAACAAGTGAAGGTTTATTCCATGCTGAAAAGAGAAGAAAAGAAACACAAAAAGTTTCGGCTGTGGAGTCTTCTTCAGGTGACTTCAGGTGGAAATCGACCCCCGAAGAAGGCTCCACAGCTGAAATGTTGCGGTCTTTTTCTTCTCTTTTTAGCAGGGAATAAACCTATTACTTGTTCCTTTGCAGCCTACGCATGCTGACGCAGCTCCCCACTGCAAAGTCATTCGTGAACAAAGCGCATCTTTCGTCACCTGGTGGGGCAGCAGCCATTTCCTGCTGTTATTTAAATGACTCTGAGGACGCGGGAATCCGAAACCAGCACTCGCAGATTCAAAAGAGAACACTCACAAGTGATTGATCATGAGCATTCAAAAGACCGCCTAAAAATTTCACATATCCATCAGGCTGCACTCAGTAAGGGCATAAATTCAAACAAGAGTCACGCAGGATGCATGGAAGGGTCTGAAATGTGTTGCGACACCAATAATCCCAGTGCAGTTAAAACTGCAGGGAAAAAATACAGGGAGCTCTGGACTGCACCTCAAAGTCAGGCTGGGTTCTAAGTCTTGAGGGTGAACTTGACATAACTGTTCTTGCAGACATCCCAGATTAATAAGATCATATCTACGAAGGCTTTAAAAGGTAAAAATGCTCAATGTTCACTTAAAACTTTTGTTTTTTTTAGATCATAACCATAAGATAATTGACGCAATACAGAGTTGGAGAAACAGCCTGCGTTTGGGAGAGTGGGTCAGGGTTCCAGTCAATATCTCAGCGCATAAAGGTGACAAGTTGGATCCTTCTCCCAGGTGACCTGCAGCAGCTGATGAATTAGACAGACTCCTGTGACTTGGAGATCAATGAAAGACCTCATGGTTCTCATTCAGCAAACAGCCTTAACAGAGGAGTTCTACCCCCTTCACCATTACTGCAGTGACCGTTGCTAGTGTGGGATTGTGGGAGCTGAACTGAACACTCTGGCCCTTAGGGTGTCCAACACAATTCCTCGAGTCTGCAGTCTTCAGGTTTGACATCCCCCTCAGCTCTGTATAGCTGGTCTATTTTATTAAAGCACCAAGTTAATACGTATAACCAGGCTGACAGGTTTTGTACAGGTAACTGTAGATTTTTTAAGCCATCAAAAGACCTTGAGAAAAATCCCTTTTATCACTCACTGAGAAAATGAGTGAAAGTGCTGAACGGGCTACTCAGGTGGGGCGAATCTCCAGAAGCCAGCAGGCACCCGAGAGACTCCTGCCCCAGAGGCTCACCTTGGAGTCCCCAATGAGGGCAATCCCGATGGACAGCTTGCGTTTCATCCCGCCCGACAGAGTCCTGGAGTGGGCGCGGCGCTTGTCCTCCAGGTTCAGGATGCGCAGGATGCGGTCGACCTCCTCGGGGGTCTTCTCCTGGGGATACCCTTTCAGCTGGGGGGGGGGGGGGGATAAATGGCCGTATTGAGAAACGGGGGGGCCCGGCCATTTCAAGAAATAGTCAAAATTGCCGAGCACTTTGGAAGAAACAATCATAAATGGGACTGTAAATCACAAAGTTATATTTGGCCAGCAGCCATATCACCCTGCAACTCACAGCTGGCACCTGACTCTCTGTGGTCATTAAAAAATCCCAGGGCATTTCTCAAAAAGAGTAGGGGTGTTACCCCGGCATCCTGGCCAAATTCCCCATTGGTCTTTTCCAATCATGGCCTCCTAATCATTCCCATATCTGAACTGGCTTAATCACTGTGCTCCTCCCCGCTGATAGCTGGTGTGTGGGGAGCATACTATGGCTACCATTACATCATCCAGATGGGGGCTGCACATTGGTGACAGTGGAAGGGAGACCCCATTCCCTGTAAAGCGCTTTGAGTGGAGTGTCCACTCCTTTCATTATAAATGAAAAAAAAAATCACAAATCCTTTCCTCTTCTTGTACCCGCTGACTGGAGCTGCGGTACTTCAGCCCGGAGAGCAGGACTGTCGCACTGCCGCACACTGATACGGGATGTACCTGCCCTCCCCACGTACCTGCGCGTAGAAGCTCAGGTGCTCCTCCACGGTGAGGTTGTCGAAGAGGACGTCGTGCTGCGGGCAGAGCCCCAGGCTGCGGCGGATCAGGGCCATGTCCTGGGAGATGTCGTAGCCACTGATGTAGGCCCGGCCGCTGGACGGGGGGAAGAGCCCTGCGGGACAGAGACAAGGGCCCCGTCACCCTCTTGCTTGAACCGTGCTGCGACTCTCTGCGCTGTGATCTCTACAAAGACCTTCCGGCATCATTGGAATGTCTTTCCGCCGGGTTGTTCAAACAAGCACAGAATCCCTCGAACGGTGTGTCTCTGATGACAAGAGTCTCCTCTCACCGGTCAGCATGGACAGCGTGGTGGTCTTCCCAGCTCCATTGTGTCCAAGGAGGACCGTGATCTGCCCTTCGTACATGTTAACGGTCAGGTCTCTCACTGCCTCACGGGTCTTACTGCCAACCTTGAAAACCTGCAGCGAAGAAATAACGCCACTGCAGAAGCAATTCGGGATGAGGTTGCTAATACTTTACCGATTACTTGCGCAGAGGAGGAATGCTGCAATGCCTACTACCGGCGCTGCTTTTTTTCCCCTCGATATATACTTTCCCAAAATGCACTGCACATCTGCACAAAATGCTGCAACACGGCAGCCAAATACCTTCCTGGCTTTCCTGTGCCCGGAATACGATAAAACACAAAATCTTGTCTTTGCAGCAAGCAAGTCGAGAAACACTTCATGAATCTCTGTCAAACGACAGCTTAAAAACTGCACTTTGGCTGACACAGGCTGCGGTCTTCGCCTCGCACTCCGTGTCAGATTCATGAGAGGCATCCCAAGTCCCAGCTGAGGGGAAACGTCAAAATAAACAAAGTAGATCGATTGACCTGAGGATTGTCAAAAGCCAGCCAGCAGTGGTACCCACCTTGGCGAGGTGTTTGATCTTGATCCCCGACACCAGGCCTGCCGGCTCCTCCTCGATAAACTCGCCCTTCAGCGCCTTCTCTGCATCCTCCTCTTCCTCCTTCTCCTTCAGCAGGGCCAGACGGGGGGTGCCACCCCAGTAGGAAGGCTGGGAGAGAGCCACGGAGAAACACCGACACGCGCTCAGGATTTGATTTGACACCCACTACAGCTCCCCATCTCGATCTGGGGGACACCCGTGAAGAGGGTGTCCAGGAATCTGTTGCGAATGGACCCCCGTCTCCACTTCAGCTCAGGACCAGCTGTCCCCTGGTCAGGAGTGTTAAACTGCATTATTCCCAGATCATTCCTATCCCTTTCAACAGCAATAGTGATACCTAGTGCTAGATCCCTAACTCCCACCGAATAAGCCAACAGGATGGATGCAGGATCCTAATGAGTATAAAAATCTGTGCCCTGTCAATCTCAGAACATACGGAGGGAGATTGCAACAGCAATATATCAGCAAGCAGATACTACCGAAGGCAAATAAACTACATTTGTGAACAAACACATTATTAATACCAACATGCTGATTTGTTACACGTTTCTAAGGTTTGCTAAACCAAAGGATGCATCAGCAATGAATGTTTACAAGGCACGCAGACTTGGCCGGAGTTTAAAATGAAACAAAGTAAAAGCTAACAAAAAAAATGCATACAAAGCACTGGTTATTAAAGAACATGTCAGAATCTTTGGGAAGAGTATGTGTACAATGCCATTTTCATCCTGCGGCACAACATGGACACCTAGTGCTCCTTGTCACAAGCAGAATTAATGCAAACCACTGGCAGAAACATAAGACACCAGCACCTAGCATCTTTGCTAGCAGCCAACTGATCAAAGAATCTCTTCAAGCTGCCTCCTGGAGGATTCAAAGGAAACGTTTTTTCTACAATGCGTCTGAGCAGCTTGCTCCAGACACCCACAAATCTTTGTGTATAAATAGTCCATATGATTCAGGCCTAAATGCTTACAGCACTCCACCCATGTCCTCAGGAACTGATTTCGAGGAGGATCCTAAAGTAGCCCCTAGGGTTCATTTCATCTGTATCTTCAAAACTATAATAACAATGTTGAATATTTATTATTCCGCTTTCCACATAAGACACTTTAAGTCCTGTCTATTAAAACTGGCTTCTAAAAACAGAAAGGACTGAGACAGCACCTCCCACAGAATCAATGTTTTTTTTGCAATGATGTGATCGAAGCTGAAAATGATAATGGAACTGTGGTTTGGAAGGTAAAATTTGTATATTACTTAGAATTACAGTATATTCTGCATGTTGCAAGCAGATACAAGCAGCTGGATTTATTTAAGATCACTCATTTTAGATCAAAGAAATCAACCTCTCCATTTTTCTGTCATGTCTGTCAAGTATCTACAAGATACGTCTTGTATAATCTAAAGAAGAATAAGCAATGTAAACAACTGAATCCTAAACCTTTACCCTCTGGCGTTCTGGCCAGGCCAGAAGGTAGCAGCTCCAGGAGCAGTTTAGCGACAAGACTCTCACCTCCCATTCATCGTGAAGAGAGCTCTACACTTCTGTCTCTAGGCAGAATGCAATTCTTCACAGCAATTTCTTCTGGTGTTAAAAAACATGAAGCATCTTTTATCATGTTAATTATAAATTAGAAATGCAAATGCCTTTAATAATTGTTAACCTCTAAGGTTGAGACTAGCAGTTTATTTAAAAGGAGATATTCTGCTACAATAAATCTGCTTTGGTATTATGGAAATGAATTTCGAGCGTGGGTGGGCGGTATAATTAATTTGCTTTTATCTTACCAGCATTTTGACAATTAAAGAGATGCAGTTCTGTACTTTAGCCAGAAGGGGGTACACCTAGCACAGCTATCTGTTGATCTTTGCTCACCAAAATATTTGAAAAAAAAAATACATTGAAACAGTTTAGATTAAGATACGTACCTATACAAAAAGCCAGGAAAAAAACATTTAAAATTATAATATGATCAGCCTGCCTTCCTGGTGAATAATCACTGAAATGCTACAGAGATAATGGAATTATGCACACTCCCTAAAGCATACCACAATTACACAATAGGAAAAGGCCATGTGCAGTTCCCGAATTTTCCGGTTCTTTTTCCAACAGGTGTACCAAAACATGCGGTAGCGATGATTCTTGGACACTAGAGCTAGGCATGATGGCAGTCTCCCAGGATAACAGTGCTAAGACTGCCATTCCATTCTCAACATTAATAATGCAACTACTGAAAGAGAACTCATGGTGCCCTGCCAGGAAAACACGATATCCCCAAATCCATCACAATCCGAAACCTGTCTCTTAATACAAGAAAAAGAGTTATTATCTAAAAGAGCCTAGCTAAAAATATGATATATATATATATTTAATATGAACTGTTTTACAGTAAATGAGCTGTTCTCAGGCATGACTACACCTTTCATAATGAGTTTAATGCTCACACAACCCCCTGTGAGATCACAGTGCACGAAAAGTTAAGCAATTATTAAGAAACTATAGTAGCATTTTGTTTTAGGTCTTGTAAAAGCAACATTTTAGTCAAGAAAAAAAAAACCTGCTTACAGTGCCACTGTTTTAATCTCCAGGAGTCCGTTCATGAAAACAACCATCACTGCAAAGGAAGACCCAGAGCAAAGCCCATCACTCACTGGGCAAGTTCCCTAGCAACAGCACAACCTGCACAGTTCAAAAACCAGCCCAGAATAGTTGTTAGACCATTCACAGGACCTATACGAGAAAACCTGTTAAACCCGGATTGTACATCATCATTATACAATGATACATACAGTATGTCTTCTGTATTTTAATTTCCCTGAAGTGATAACCTCTTCCTAATTACAAACAAGCACAATTCCTGCTATGGAAACCGTACCTTTTATCAAGATTGCACTGATACGTGATTTCAAAGAAAATTGTATTTTTCTATAGTTATTTTTTAACCAGGTCTGACCAACTCCAATTCTAGAGGATCTTCCTTCTGCTCAGACTGACCTGACTACCTGAACCCAAGCCCACCAAGAACATACAAGAGGTTCTAACCGAGATTTTGAATACATCATGTTCCTGCGATGAGATGACCTGGCGGGGCTGCACTTTAATACGACCAGCTCATTAATTCCTTAATTGATCCTGCTCATCACCAATCACCAATCACCTGCAAGATCACCACCGATGTTCAAAAACCAAAAAGCGACTTAAAATGGCAGAGTTAATACCGCTCTTTTGTCTTTTACACACTGGGAAAAAAAAAAACTTGTGGCACCACAGGCATAGTTTCAGTGCTTCCGAGATGTCAAAACAGTGGAGCATATTTTCACCAAGAGTACAGGCTTTGCATGACCACACACATCGTACGGATTAGAGAATGCCACAAAAACGGGATCACATTATTTCAACAGTCTACATTCAGCAGGGAATGAGGTTTTAAAACGTATCTATTTCCTTCAACCATCAAAAAGCAGTGGTTTTGAAATTAAGAGTATTTTTTTAAACCAAATGTAAAAGACATCCTTTAAATGTCAGCATGGGGAACTAAGCCAAAACCAAACATGCTCAGTTTTCAAGCCCCCCCCTCCCCCCCGATAGAAAGGCTGGGAAAGTTGCACCTACCAGGATGAAATAATACCAGGGAAGAGGGACCCCATACTCTCCAGGGAAAACAGCCTCCACATACCAGGCCACCAGCCCATACAGACAGGAGTCCAGGAGCAGCAGACCCATCACCTGGCCCAGGGAGAAGTTGTCATCCACAGTCACCGGCTGAAACAGGTTACTCCACTGGATCCCTGTGCCTGAGCACACACGCACACACAGGAAGAGCTCGCATCAGCATCCCGCACCATGAGAGCGCCCCCCCCCGCCCCCTCCCCCTGCCCAGTCCATCTTTAAAAGATCACCCTAAATCACTGGTGTGCACTGATTGGGAACATTACCCAAGTTAACCATCAATTAACTATCAAACCAGAACCCAGGCCATCGAACAGCAGTCTCCCAGCTCCTCAGCTCTGCCCAACCGCAACACAACAGGATACAAGCCCATCCTCTCTGCTCTCCTCCTGTTCCTGGTCTGGCTTTCTTTCCAGGCAAGCTCTCGTTCTACACGCTGTATGTGAGAGCTTCCTTGGACTGACAGACAAATTTGAAGTCTGAAGGTCTTCAGCTCTTACTCACTCACGGACTCTTGAGATCTGCCGCTTTTTAGCAGACAGGTCGTTCTCAAAACGGGCAGAGACTCTAATCCTAACCCCCCCCACCCGTCTCGCCACTCGCTGACCTTTGCCCTCGAACATTCCGATGAGCTGGGAGCCCATGGCCATGCCCACGTTGGAGATGAGGCAGGCGGCCACCTTCTGCGGATGAGACAGGAGGTCGTAGCGTGGAGAGATGAAGACATACGGGATGTAGGAAAGGAAGTAGATGAAGCCGCCCGCAGCCGCCGCCACATTGGCTAGGAAGAAAAAAAAAAGGTACAGGCTCAAGAGCTGTCGGACCCCACTGCACGTTGAAGAAACACCTTCCAGTTTCTCTTACTGACCGAGGCACGACATGTTTCCGAGGGAGATATTGGTAACTGGCTCAGAGACAACAACTTGGTTGTTTTTTTTTTTTCAAAAGATGCACAGGAAGTGAAGGATTTTGAATGTAATCTGGTCTCATCAGAACTCAGGAGCAGAGCAAAGTTAGCACTGTTCAGTACAGACAAGACCTCTATGGAAATCCAGGCTGCTGCTGGTCAATCTAAAGCCCTACTACAGTGATCTGGGACACTGAACTGCAGAACACAGTACCCTTTGGATGAGATTCTAAATTCAGATCCTGATTACTTGGACCTGATCCCAATTCCCTGGGTTTGCACAATCTGGTTTCATTAAATGAAAGCGATATCAAGGAACAGAAGTGAAAACTAAGGAGAAGTGAAGTTCAGACTGAAGCCAAAAGGCACTGCTTTACACAAAGGGTTGTAGGAGACTAGAACACGGGGCTCATCCACATTGTTGAAGCCAATAACATGGGTTCTTTTAAAACTATGCTCGACATAATCCACAAAAAAAGGGTAAAGCTCTTACAGCCTGCCGGTGTAGGAGGCTAAGTGCTTTGCAAAAGGCTTTTCAGCCTTGGCTACCATGCTTCTAATGCAGTACCATTCAACAGCACATTGAAATTTAAATCAAAAGAATCGAATACATGAAAAGCGAAAACAGCTGTAGTTTGATCTGGGCAACGCATCTTTATTTAGCAGGGAAGCAAGTCACTGGTGATGATGTCTAATTCAGGGCATTGTGGAGCGCACAGAGCAACAAAGAAAATTCGTTTCACTCCATTACTCCGAGGGAGAAAGACGAGGATGAGAACATAGAGCTTTGCTTAATTACAGATTTAATTAGCTGGTTCTTGAAGAGCCAGTGTACAGTATGTGATGGCTCAGAAAAATCACTGTTTCACACAAAAGGGACAAGAATAAAGACCCAGACCTTATGAAATCTACCTGTTTGTTAGATATCAAAGGCCATTTTGTCAGTCAGCTTCCGACATTCTGTCCCCTCCCCAGTTTTTATCACTCTTTTTCTTTTCGGCAATAGCACATTTTCAATACAGCTTGGTTTGTTTTTTTGCCATGGAGATAAAAGATTTTCAAGACCTGCGGGCTTGAAAAAAAGCACACAAAAGAGTGTGAATCTTGCCTTTTCATTTTTCCCTTTGATATAATTTAATGTTCAGATCATGTTTCTTTTTTTTCCCCACACAATTACTGCTCTGAAACCACCGTCTCATGTCTGCCACACACGCAGAAAGTCCTCACTTTTAAGGTACAGCCGAGAGGAGAGAACAAGTAAACCCCACATTTCTATTTCAATGCACAAGTGCATGGACTGGATCTATATTTTTTACTTGTCACATTTTTAGTATTCTATAAATCATGTCACTGTAACAGATATAAGTAATGCTTTTTCTCCCAAACCCTGGACTGCTCATCACACAGACATACTGTACATGGACTTTCACACAAGAAACAGTATCAATCCTAAGAGGCACTGCTGTTATATGCTAGCAATGCACCTCAGGACAGGGCAAGCACCCACTGACAGGACAATGGCTGATGTAGCGCCCACCCGAGAACGCAAATCTGCACCGTGTAATTATGGGCCAACATAAGGTTATGAACTAAATTAGCAGATGCGGTGAAGTAATTAGTGAAATATCAGAGAGATGCATTAGGATCATAAAAAGGTAACAAACAGGAGGAAGCTATCTGGGCTGTGTAGCCCATTTGGTAGTAAGTAGTTTTATTAATTGGAGGATCTCATCTTGAGTGATGCCGAAGCACACGTATCTTTATTATGGCTTGTGTTTTTATGTTTTTTACAAACATACAAAGATCCTCAGAAATAAAGTTGCCAGTCATCACAAAACAACAAGCATTATAAATATAAATGAGTATAGAGACTGCTATTTAACATCCTTTCCCAGTCTGACAGAGGGTATTGTGCTGGGGAGAAAGGAGGGTAACAAACTTCAAGAACATTCATATCAATATTATTATTAGGTAGTATAAATAATCTACATCACTCAAAGTACTTGGCTGGGCAGCTTGCTCCACACTCCCACCACCCTTTGGGTAAAGAAGGGTCTCCTGTTCCCTGTTTTGAATGCACTTCCAAGTAGTTTCCCTTGTGTCCTCTGGTTCATGTGTCATTATTGATTTTGAAGAAGTCCTCTGGGTCCCCTTGAGGATATTGAATGCTATTATTATCAGGTCTAGACTACCTCTTTAAATTTGTATAATTTATAGCAATGATTCTGGCTTAGTAAAAGCTTTAGTATCCAATATCCCTGATGAATTAGCAGAGTTGGATAACCAAATATGCCAGATAGTCAAGATTTAAGGTCATTATCACATAATCAATAACACTAACCAATAACATGTTCTGCACAACTACCATTTATGCAAGCTGGAGCACACTCTTATAGGGTAATTTGCACAAAGAACTGTTATCGTTATCATTGAAGTGCTGTAATAAAACCAAAATACACTATTACAATATTATTGAACACAGAACTGTTCTTTAACACTCAAGCTTCTGCCAGCAAAGAGCATTGCAAAAATTATGGCAATTTTAAAATGATAAAATGACAATGACAAAATCAGCAAAACAAAAATAACCATCACATAAATAATGGCCAATCGTCAGGGCCAAAAAGCCTTGTCTTCGAGCCAGTAACAATAAGGTTGTCACAGGGATCAGAAAGGCCAAGAGCATGCTTGAGTATTAAGTATTTTCCTGGGAGGGGTCAAAAGTTCACCCCAGAAGAAAAAGACACGATTAGCCCCACTCCCAGTGAAACTCATGGGAGGACAGGTGCTGGCGATTGAGACAGGCAAGCCTCCATTTCTGCAGTTTGACTTGAACCAGTTCAAAATTTCCACTATCCTCACATTAAAATGTAAAAAATGTACTTTTTTGTAGGGACTGGACATGAAAGACAGTGCTGTAGAGTGCTATAACGCTTTCCTGCTGATGTTCACAGGCTTGCTGGGGCTTTTTTAGGAGCCCAATTTAAGAATGCGCTGTGTAGGAAAACTGAATAGCTGCCATTATTCCCTCCTTAAAACCACAGGCAATACCACACCTGCGAAAGAGCTTGGGCGATTGCACCTTGCCGCAGTAACAGTCCAATTTCAATCACTGCTCAATTGTGCCATTCCAAAGTTCACCGGGAACAAAATCGGCACGGGGCCTTGCGGCTAACTGTCTCCATTTTCTCTGAACAGCATCAGAAATGAGTCAAGAGCAACAGCAGAGAGCTTAAATTCAATAATGGCTCCACGGCTAAGGAAACTCCCCTGCTATGGCCCAGCCATTATCAGACTATTCAACTCGCATGTCAGAGATACAGTGACATGGCGTGTGAGGTGGTGTCACAAGGGCCCACATGTGCGATGCACTAACTCTGGCTTCATCTAGTGCGGCAGGTGATGTGAAACGTGCTCCAAAGCCTGCGATTTACTCTGCTGACCCTATCCTTTGTGTTCTTACAGCTCCTGGAGAGACGGCACTCCCCTTGCTGACCAAACAAAGACACCAGAACCATACCGTTTGGCCCCTCTAGCCTGTTTAATAGTTCACAGCTACTTGATCCTAGGATCTCATCCAGCTGTTTCTCGGAAGAAGCCAGAGTACTGGCTTCAACCACCATAGCCGGGTAGCTTGTTCCACCCTTTGGGCAAAGACGCCCTTGCTGTTCCCAGTTTGAAATGCACTTTCGTGTTGGAAGCCACTTTCTAGTGTATGGAGAAGAGTCTTCTGCATGGGCAACCACAGGCTGTCTGTGTGGGCAGAGGAGAAAGAGCTTGAAGTCAATTCAATTACACATCCCTCCCCGAAGAGCTTTTAACCGGATAAATGAGCAAACAGGTAGGTATGAACACGACAGAATAACAGGAGAGAGCAAAACTCCAACACTTCCAATTATGGGGCTGGAGGGCCTCACAGAAACAACCATCTGCAACAGCGCACACTTGCTAAAGCCATTATCATGTAAAATTGCTCATATGAAGGTTCTCCTTATTTGGCATAGAAAAATGAAATAATCCAAATGACATTCGTGTTTATGTATTAATGCTCAACAGAAGACGAAGAATATAGATCAGGTGGAATCGGCTTCTTTCAGCTCCGTCGGTCCAGAAAGCGCTGAACCGACATGTTCAAAAGGGTCTTCTTTTCCACAGTCAGAGCCATCCAATGCCCACCCCCCCCCGCCCCGAATCCCCCCTCCCAGGGGGATCCCACCTGCGAGGGAGTTAACCCACCTCGTGAGAAGAAGGAGCTGATCATGAAGCTGAAGTTAATGGTGGACACGGCAAAGGTCAGCAGGAAGGCGAAGACCAGGGTGGGGTCGCTGTATGTCAACACTGCTCCATTGGGGCTCACCTGGAAGGTGACAGACACACACATGCACTGCAATCAGAGCAATGTCACACTGGGCCCCAGGAAAATAATAAGCTACACAGCCCATCGTCCTAGAGAATGCCAATCTAGGAGCAGAAGAATGAGCACGTTTTATAATGGTGCTTCCACCCCCATTGGTGTCATAACCATGATGCAAAAGAACCTGCTAGGCCAAATAATTGTGCTTGGTGAACCTGTCTGTCTGCTGTTGTGCTTTTCATTAACATTGCTTTGCAAACTTTTAATGATATACTCTAGATGTTGTTCCCAAATCACTCACAAGAAATAACTCCAGGGACCTCCCTCTGTCACGGCGAATGTTTATCTAAACTTTGTTTAACTTGGACTTCAGTTTATTTTCAGTACACCCAACTCCCTTAGCTGGAATGCTAAAAATGGCTTGAGTCTTTTTTTTTCTTAGTTTGTTTTGTGGGATTCAGGAGACAAGTGCCTGTTGTGAGAAAGTATATGAAGTAACAGTAATCAAAGTAAACAGTGGGGGGAACCAGAGGCGTTTGGCATTTAAGACTTGCACGCACTGCTATAGACCACGGAACGCACCGGCAAAGTGTCGCAGAGCTACGTTCCTTTACTGTACAGAAAAGAGACCCCTTCCTTCAGGGTATAAATCCAAGAACACCAATATGCGAAGGATTATAATTTCGAACGATGGCATAACGGCGATTTTGTCTCCCGAGAGCTAATGATGACAACGGTGGGAACCCGGCCTTCACTAACCTTCACGCAGAACAGCAGAGTGACGAAGAAGACGGACATGAGCAGGAAGAGGAAGAACATCAGGAACCAGGCGGACCAGTGGAGCCAGTTGCTGAGGCCCATCATCCGCATGTACTCCTGGAAGACAAGCGCACAGCAGTGTCACTGCAGACTGCTTCCTGGCACGAGACAGGCCTTCCAGACCTCCAGAAGAGCTGTCAACGCCTCTCTGACCAGCCCACTGCTTCCTTCTGAAGAATCAACTCCTGACTTGCACTGGCCTGCTTTGATCGTGAGAATTGGGCAGGTTTAACTGATGAAAGTATGGACCTTTAGATACTGAAAGGTCCTCGTGTCACAGATCAGGCTGTAGATCTCTGCTCCTCGTCCGTTATGCTCAAACTTTAAGGATAACGTTATGACACTGCTGTAGGATTTTAATTTAAAAAACTTGTGTTGTGGTCTGAGGAAACAGACCACATTCATATTGAAGGAAATCAAGATTTAAAAAGGTACTTTTACTTTTTTGTTTCCTGCAGGAAAGGAAGTACATTTTTAGTTGCAAACAAGACTGTCTGACAAGCACATTCACTAAGATGTTATTTCAACCCAAACGCTACAAAACAGGGGAGCCCAGAGCTTCTCTCACTCCGATGCCTTAGAAGCTAAACACTTAAATGATTCAGAACTGTGCACAGATACTAGTTGACTTGACTACATGTTGCAGGTGAGTGTGTACGCTCCTACTTGAGAAAAAAAAACAAACACAATTGCTTTCCTGTTGTTTGTTGCTTTTCCACAATACTGTTCTGGGGTGCAAATGTTGCAAACAGAGAAATGTCTGGCTTTACTTTCACACTGATACTGGCTCAGACAATACAGCAGGGGTGTTCAGCCCTGGTCCTGGAGGGCCTATAGCAATATCAGGAACTGATTCCAACCCAGCGCTTCATCCAGGTAAGTTTATCATCAACTTAACTGGAGCAATTCGTTTCCCTTCTTATAGGAGTGCCGGTGCTTTTCACAGACCTAGAACACCTGCAGACACACAGCTCCTCCAGGACCAGGACTGGACGGCCCTGTCATTTAGGTCAGAGCACACCGCGATATAAAGAGAACAGATGGCATCACGGCCTGAGAGACCCCGTTTCACATATAACTCTTGGGACCAGTGCCTAGGGCCGACAAAACATCAAGGGCCTATGAAGGAGGGAATCACTAGTGATTGATGAAAAACGAGCTTGTGATCGACTCTAGGGGCTCCAAATCAATAATCAGACGCTATCTAGCGGCTGTTCCAGAAAGTATGGAACTGATGGTCACTCGACTCACTCCCTCAATCACGTGGTTTAGCATGAGAATAGATTAAAGCGCATCGTCTCGATTGATGTAATTAAATTGGCGTTTACCCCTCTCTTCGCGCATTTTGGAGCGATAGCACCTAGGGCCAACGAACACCAAAATCCGGCCCTGCTCGGGACCGGTCGTTTTCAGGCGTCAAAAATCTGCCCATAGAACATCGCAATTGCGCACAGGGGACACAGGAAAGCAAAACGGAGGAGGTGAACACGGGGGCTGCATGAAAAAACCTCCACGTTGCACGGTCACCGGGCCGTAACCGGGCAGGGCTGCCGTTACCTTCAGCTTCCTCTCCTTCTCCTGCACCACGGCGCGCACGATGTTCAGGGCCGTGTAGGTGAAGCTGAGCACCAGCAGCAGGGGCAGCTGGTTCTGGATGGCCAGGATGAAGAGGTCGTTGATGTAGGGCGGGAAGGGGAAGCGCTCCAGCCAGACGTGGAGCCGGTCCAGCAGGGAGCCCGAGTCGTGGGCGCGGATGATGGCCCTGTCCACCGCGTGCTGGATGGCCAGGAATCCCTCGCGGTAGTAGCCTGCGGCGTAGAGCAGACGCCAAGATCACAACAGCTCCCGGCCGGCAGCAGTGTGCCATTTTCATCTACTAGGCCTTGAAGTGCTCAGCCTACACTGGGCCTCAAATGAATCTTTGGACAGCGGGAGCCGCACTTAACTACTGATGAGAGACTGCTGTCCATGGGGCGAGGGCTTTTTCCACAATCAGGTACCATGAAATTATCCCTGACAGGATATTACTGGAAGTTCACTTGCATTCTCCCCTTTTTAAGCACAGCAATATCACAGATGGCCTGCTGGCTGCTATTCTTGAAGAGTTTCAGGTCTGGCGCAAGTGGACCTGCTTGGCTTTTGTTTCTTTTTGTTTTTTAAAAGAAATGACTGAGTAGCCCATCACAGGCCGGAACCCTGGAGGGAAACTGCCTTGGTCTGCCCTGAGCCAGGGCGGGGCAGAATCCCGAAGGGAAATTCAGTTTTGCTCAGCTGCACGTGGAGGAAAAAAAGATTTTTAGGAATCAATTTTTCTCCTTCCGGCGCCATTACATCAGTCATCTTCAGGTGGAAAAACAGGAGACGGGATACCCAAGAATGTGGAAGATGTCTCGCATCTCACCTCACCCTTCATTCTTTCTGACAGAACTACTGAATCTTTGGACAACTGTTGGCTAGAAATTAAACCTAAAGACCTCTCGTTTCAAGCCTGGTCATTCAGGCAATACGGCGGCAGTGGGATCAGAGGCTTTTTTTTTCACAATTCACCTCCTTCCCCTGGAGAATAAAAGAAGAGTATTTTGCTGACTTTCCACGGCTACTTTTTAATGCGTCACATCCTCTGAATATTCAGAACACCCTTTCTTTTCCATGTACAGGCAATGTCGTGTTCTAAGGATATGTTTTAAGGATTCACTTCGGCAAAGAATACCCCCAAAACAACGAGAAGGAAATGAGGTCACTTGATAAAAGGTATTATCAAGAACTATTCCCTCACACTTCCTATGCCACGTTTCAGAGATCTGAGCTTATTCTTGACGGGTAGGATTTGCTGGGAACTGTGCAACTAAGAAAAAACGATCAATCAGAAATTCACTTCTTGGTGAAAGCTGCGACTGGCGTGCTTCGTAAGTTGTCGTAACGAAGAAGGAGAATATCTGTGGTCATTACCTGGGGTTCCGCCTGTTTTGTATTTGGGTTCCCTGGGCCCTGGCAGCTGGAACAGGGGGAAGAGACTGAGCGTGTGCCAGTCGCGGTCATTGTTGGGATTCAGTTCGGACTTCTCCGCTGGTGGGGCGTTTCGGGGGCTGTACTTGAACCTCAGGTGGTAGCTCACCTTCAGAGGAAGAAAAGAACAAGAGAGTCAGCTCAAAAACCCCCAAAATCCTGGCCTCCTGCCCCCTCCTGGTAATGGTGCTTGTCGTGGGATATACAGTACTGCCCAAGGGGAGTGGGATTGCAGTGTCGCAGGGAACTGAGAGTGTCCTTGGGTGCCGACTGCTCGGAGAATCCCCAGCACGGCCGGATAGCAACGTGACCCCAAGATTGGGAGATGGCCGGCGACGTGACTCGGAAAAAAGGACAAAGGGACACCGAGATGCTGAGAGAGGACATGGAGGACTACGGAACAGCGCTCTGAAGATCCGGCCCATTTCTTACCTGCAGCGGTAAAGGTTCGTCCTCATGGCTGAAGGCATGCTCAAACACCAGCGCCGCCAGAATCTTCCCCGACTCCGGGTCTGACTTCACGTACTGCTCAAAGTCCGCCTCGGTGTCAAAGCCGCGGACTGCAGGATCACACAGAACACCAGGAGACTGATGAGCAAAACAGGCTGCTTCCACAACGGGCTCCACACAGCGCACAATGCAACCGCGGGGTGCGGAAGGAAGCTCAACCCAGCTGCTGGGGAGCAGTCCAGTCTGTCGGGGCTTTCCTCAATCTCCTAAGATCTCACCTTGTTCAACTGGTTCAGTTATATACACCCCTATCCAAGCTTTCCCACGTATCACATGCATCTGTCCAGTTAACCCACAACTAAACCCATAATGAGATCAGGTAACAGATGTAGCAGTAACCAAAATCTGAAGACTGCCTGACCTTACAGGAACACAGTTTAGGGGAGAAAAAAATCATTATCAATTTGCACAATCTGCTGAAAAAACGTAGGTGTAGGGTAATATCAGATAACCAGAGATTATGTCTCAAGAAGTTGCTCCTGTTAGAAGTTATGAGATAAAACTTTCTGGCAATTAAGTAACAATGCAGTTATCACATCTATAATTTACCAGTAACTTTAATTATATGGGAAGTTTTATTCTAAGTTCATTTCAATTGCTTAAGAACAGAAAGTAAATGCTCTGCTGTGTAAATGGGTCTCCAGATGGTCAACGCCAATGAGAAGTTCTCAATTTGCACAGCCGGTAAAATAAAGTCATAAAAATACCTGACAGGCTGGTACAAGACAGAGACTGCAGATTAAGAATTACTTTCTTTGCCTTTTTAGTTTGGCCTCATAAAGAATAAATTAACCAAGCAATCCCATTTTCTGAAGGTCATGTTACTGTTAAATTTCACCTTGTGCCAAAAGAACATATGGACAGCAACGGCAAGCAACCCAGGAATAGAAAAGTCTAATTAGGACATAAAATGCTTCAAAATGTATTTTCCCAACAAGCATTACTTCACACTTCATGTTAACTCTTCATAATTAAGAACCAGTATATAGCTAAAATGTTCTAACAGCCACAATTGAAACAATTATGGCTGTACAATTTATTTTTTGGGAACTAGCCAGGGTTTGTTTAGAAAAAAAAGGTCATCTACAGTCTACAGTATAAAGTGTGCCGGTGACTGTGGCAGTTGAATAATTCAGGAGGAAAACACATCTAGTTTCAGATACAGGAACAAAAAGCTCGAGAGTGTAACAACATAGGCTCATTACCCGAGGGAATTAGAAATGCCAAATAAATATTGTGCAGTACAGATTCAGAACCGCTGCCTTTTTTTTTTTACACCCAAGTATACCTACTCTTCACCCTCAGATCAAGAATTCAGTGCTTTAAATTTCCTTTGAAATTCTTCAGCTCGGTCAGAACCCCTGAACCAGACCCGCTTCCTCGTCCCAGAGCACATTTTTATCTGAATACCTAAGTCTCAGCTGCAATGGTTAGTTAGGTTTTGGAGGGTTTCATTGTTTTGGCAAAAAAAGCCAGTGCTGTCTATACAGAAGTGTGCCTGAAAAGCTATGTTTACAGCAAGCATGAATGTATTTTCGTTCAAAGCCCATTTTGTTTCTAGACAGTGCGACCATGTACGACAGTATTTTAGACACTAAGGCCTGCCAGAGAAAAGGGAATATCCTGAAGTCTGTACAACCAACACCAGCTTTTCTTAGGAGAGCACATAGGACAGTAACCTGCTGAGCTTAATTGAGGTACAGGTGACATCAGCTGACCTACACATAATCAGAAATATGAAATGGCATTGGTTCAAATGTCGTACAATACACATTGCTAACTGACATACGGGATCATTCTGAAAGTCTAGATGGATGCATTAACCACAAGACCCTTTCATCACAAACAGGTTTTATTCTGCAGTGGAAAAAAACACCGTTATTGAAAGGAAAAAAGAGCTTAAAGGTTGCAAACAAGGGGAGGTCATTCGGTCCATCTATCCCCGTTTGTAGTGCTTTCATCCCAGGGTCTCATCCAGCTGTTTTGCGAAACAAGCTTGGGGATTGGCATCCATCACATGGCCGGGTAGCTTGTTCCAGACCTCCAACCACCCTTTGGGAAAAGAGGTGTCTCCCGTTCTCAGTTTTACTTGCATATCCATGTAGCTGGTAAACTACCAGATCACATTAGCCCACAAACGAAGGCACCCAACATGAATCCATATCAAGTTTCTTTATTAAACAGTTAGGCAAGATATGTTCCCCTAAATGCTTAGTGATTGCTACAAAACATGATTTAGGGAGAATCTTCAAATGTCTCACATAAAGATAAAGGTGTAGACATTGACACACTAGTGCTGACTGAGGCAGGGAAGACCACAGTGTAAACACAACTAGAAAGCACCTGCATGATAACGACCGGCTCAGCGCATTATCCTGTGTGGTCCCGGGACTTTGCATGAGTAACAGATCACACATGAACCAAAACTACTCATTTTAGTTCTTTCCATGTAACTTTTAATTTAAATGGACATTTGTTTTTCCTTTAAAAGGGCAAAACAAAATTCTAATACTGTAAAGAATAAGCTTGATGGACATATAATTGTATTAATTATAAATTACAAAACAAGATTAGGAAGGTGACAAATGAGAGGGAGGCCTTTCAGCCCCTGTAGCTCTGGATATCAGACTTTTGACAGCCTTCAGTCTTCCTGCTCTTTCCACCCACAGCACAAAGCACACCATCATTCAGGAGTTACTGGAATGCTTCTAAACTGTGTCGGCGTTTTACAGGTCTCCTGCAAAACCACAGGAAAACACAACCTCTCTGACGAGTGAGAGAATGTTTCATGGGTGACGAATCTGTTTTGCAATTGGACGTGACTCAATGCGCGTTTGTGGGGGTGGTGGGTATCTCCATGGGCACCAACCAGCAGGTGGGCTCAGTGCCACATGACGCACTTCTTCAACTACATAGGATGGGATTCTGCAAACTTCCACGTGAGGTCAGCCGAAGTGGATGGTGTGCTCGGCCCGGACTCCATACGCGAAGGGCAAACAAACAAGCAAATCATTTCCAAGGTCTGGCAAACCCCATCCGCTTTCTAACGGCTTTATCCAGTTCAAGGTGGCGGGGGAGCTGGTGCCCGTCTCGGCAGGCAATGGGCACAAGGCGGGGGTCCACCCTGGACAGAACGGCAAATCCATCGCAGGGCAGACACAGACGCACACTCACACCAGGGCCAGTCTTCCCAGAAGCTAATTAACCTACCGGTCCGTCTTTGGACTGTGGGAGGAAACTGGAGAAAATCCCCATGAATATGGGGAGAACGTACAATACAAACTCACACACGGACAGCACCCCGGGTCCAGAATTGAACCCAGGCACCCAGCACTGCGAGGCAGCAGTGCTCACCACTGCTCTACTGTGCTGCCCCCATTTAGCATCCATGGAGTTGAACAAGATATGCCCTTAGGCGGCAAATGACAAACGGAGGCCATTTCAAATAAGTAGACCCCCCCCCTCTATAAATCAGAACGGCTACCTTGAGATGAAAGCTCACCGATTGGCGTGAGGCACTCCGTGGGTCAATGCGGCCATGAGAGGAAAACCAAAAGGGAGACCAATGATCTGGATATTCAGCAGTGGGGAGCTATGGCCACCGCAAACATCTCTAATATCATGAACACGACTCGCTTCGCGGGCAGTCAGCTTTTGAAATCACCTCCAGCAGCAGCCACAAGCTCAATAAGCTCAGCAGGGCCCAAGACAAATGGGAAACAAAAGGATCGGGTCATCAAAGGCCAAAGAGCAAGGTCTTCTCACAGGCTCGGTACAAAACGCACTTTCAGGCATTTCCTCCCCCAGTAACTGCACTCAGGCCTCCCTGGACTCGGAAAGTACACCTCTTCTTTGCTGACCTGCTTGTGCTGTTGGATCACTACACAATATCTACCCCACACAGGCACAAATCTGCACTTGGCTTCTTGATGTTTGAATTATCCCTCCTTTCAGACTTGTACGGTCACTTGTAGGTGAGATAATGCAATAAATCATCATCTTGATTCTGTTATCTATTTTGTTTATCCACTTACTGTGTAGCGTAGGCAACTGTAAATTGCCCTGAATCTGCCAAGCAAATTACCATCATTATAAGAGCACCACTCGTCCAGCTTGGCCAGCGTGCAGGAATTGGAACAGGTAGTTATGTCTTTGGGTAATGAAAGGGGGCGCCCGAGTCTTTAAAGGAGATTCGGATGCTATCAAAATGTATTCACCCCCTTTGGACTTTTTCAAATGTTATTGTGTTACAATATGGAATCATAATGTATTGAACTGGGATTCTTTGCCATTGACATAAAACACTTTATAACATCAAAGTAAAAACAACATTCTACAGATCTAAATTAATTTAGACATATAAAACAAAAAATAACAAAGTGCATATGCATCCACCCACTTTGAGTCAATATCTGGTAGAGGCACCTATGGCAGAAATTACAGCCACGAGTCCTCACCAGCTCTTTCAAGGTCCCTACCACAGATTCTCAATGGGACTGAGGTCTGGGCTTTGATGGGGTCACTCCAGAACATGGACCTTTTTAGTTTTGAGGCCACTCGCGTGTTGTTTTGGTCGCTGTGCAGGTGGAAGACGATTCTTCCGCTGCGGTCCGCAGGAGACCTGGGACTTGGGAGGTTCTTCTCCAGGATTTTACTGTGCTTTGCCGCATCCACTGTGCCTTCTACCTTCAGA